TTTCAAGATGCATTTATTAGCAAAATAAAACAGATATTCATTTTGCTAATATACTTGTGTGTATTTGTTTTGATAGATCTGACTCTCCAGTCACATAGCGGAAGAAGTCTGGTTCTTCCTTCAATTCCATCACAGTCGTTTTCATAAGTAACTTTCCCCTGTTGCCCTCTGGAAGGGACTTTCTTGTTCTTTTGCCTAATGGCATCCTGAAGTTTGTCAGGGCAATAGTTAAGGTGTCCTCATCCATAGCAGGTCCAGATCTTCAGTGTAAGTCAAACCTAATACCTTGGCTCTTCATCACAGCTGTTCTTTGAGCCCTTCTCTGTGTGTTCCATGTGGGGGCTTATTATGAAACTGTGATTATTCCATGGGAACTGTGGAGATATGGGCTGTAATGACAGACAGCATGGGTATGTTTGTTGGGGGACTCTTTTTATGGACCTGCCTATGGTCCTTCATCAGGTGATGAGAGCTGTACGTTAGCCAGATGATTAAGTTATGACATGTCTGTCTTGGACTGAGGATAATTTGTATGTTTTGATGGCTCTTTATACTTGAAGCAATTCCCAAAGCTGTTCATGTAGTACCTGATCAACTCAAAGGAACTTCTGTTTCCGTGTGAAAACTCTGACAGTGAGTAGTGAGATGCACTGAAAAAATCTGTCGTGAGACTTCTGAAATGGACTCCGCATGCTAATCCCACTCCTGCACCAATGTACCAGTGAGGATTCAAGCTCCTTTACTGGTCTTTATGAGAAATATTTAATTCCCTGGCATCTGCTAAATGGCTACCTGGAGACCTACTGTAGTTTCACCAAGCACTGTACCACAGTAAAAATGTCCAAGGCTTGTTACACTAGTCTTGCCTACGTGTTCCTTGCAGTTGAAAGTGTTGTGAATTTACATGTTGTAAGTTGCTCACAACTGGAGAGTTACTGACACGGATAGAGTTTTTGAGAAAAGCAATATACACGTTTATCTCATGCTCATCTTCTCTACCTTTTCATCCAGAATTAATCTGGGACTTGGCTGTGTTGGGATCATGTGGCTAAGAAGGCATGAAGATGGCATCAAGCATATGCCTGGGTTGAGCAGGAGGAAAGGCAGGAGTGAGGGTATCATGTGTAAATCGGTAATTAAAAGGAAAAAAAGGCCTCTCCTCTTAAGCAAGAGGGCTCCTGTGTGCCCACAGTATGAAGGTCCACAACTGTTACATCTCAGAGGGCTCTTTTTACCATGTTAATAAATTTTTTAAATCTCGGTGTTGTATTTCTATTTTCACCTTATTGAAAGGAGATCCCAATTAAGTTGCATAAGGTTGAGCGTGTTCCTTGCACGTGCAGTTCTTATGTGTCTAATTTTAAGCAAGAAAACTCTTCCACTGAGCTTTAATCCCTACCCCCACTAGTGTTTTGCAGGCAGTTATTTGCTCTGTATTTTAACTTTTCCCTTGTGTTGAATGTTGCTTTGTTTGTTATTTGACTCATTCTTTACATCCTCTCTGTCTGCTCAGCACTTTATCCTTCCATTTTCCTGTATCAGCTTCTTGAAGCCATGTTTCAGTCAAGCTGATTCATTGTGAGAAGCACAAACGGTGCACTTAGTTAAGCAGACAATTAGGAGAAGGTATCAAAGAAACAGTGGACCAAATTAATCTGTATTGCAACTCAGGTTTGCTGAAATTCTCAGGTGTGAGGCATTGCTGTGCTCTCACAGGGTAAATCCTATTAAATGGAATTCGCCCTAATTACCACCAGCATGCATAAATGAAGGATCAGGTTGGCACCCTTCTAGTTAATGTAAAGTTTCATGTTAAGCAGTTAATTGGGAAAATGTAGGCAATATTTTAGTAACTCAGGAAGCCATAATTTTCTAATGTACTTTTTCCTCATTGTCTGCATGTTTCTGGCTGCTAATTTAAGTGTGTACTGACAGAAAATCATCAGCCTCCCCCACCCCCCAGGAGACTACTTATTAGATTTATGCAACACAAGATATTAAAAACACTTTTGTCTGTCACACAGCCACGGGCAGGGGAGGGGGAATTTGCCAGTTGCTAATGGATACCTGGAGTTTTTGTGTATGACCATGAAGAACAGCTTGTGCACTTTCACCCCCAATGTTCCCTGAATAACTTGGGTCTCATTTAGGTCAATAAGCCTTTATCAAAACGTCAGGAGTGAAAAATGTGTCTTGGTGTAAGCCGACTGGTCGTTCCCTCCAGTCACCAGAGTCTATAGGACAATCAATGTTCTCTAAGCTTGTCTGCATGTCACGCAAAGAGCTGGATGACAGTAACCATTGACTGCGTGTCTGTCGCATTGTCTTTGGGACAGCCTCCATTTGCATACTTGCCGGTGTGCCTGTTATCCAATGAACCATGGAGGGCCTTTAAAAAACATACGCGCACAACTCCGATGCAAATTTCCTACGCAGAGAATGCACGCTTCTTTAAAGCACAATCCAGGCTTTCACTTTCTACCTTCTTGCTATAAAACTGAAACTGTGATCCTGACAAGGCCACGGTTCCTGGTCAGAGTGCTGTTTGTGGTTTCATTGTGCCAAAACATTAACTTTTCTCTGGGTTTTTCTTTGCCTCTCAAGATAATTTTTTGTTGTCGTTCTTTTGCTTTCAGTAATTGCTAAATTGATATCTGAACAGTATCGTCTGTGCTAACACATATGATGTGAGGCCACACATTCCCTCCTCAAATTAGTTATTTTGAATGAAGGACAGTTTTTGCTCCCTGTACGGTTGCTGTTGTCTTTTGTTAAGGGAGTTTCCTCCGTGGTAGTGATGAAGGGAGAGATACTAGCCTTTTTGCACACAGAACAGTACTTGCATACTAGAGTTTATTGACCATATCTGTGAAACAAATACAATCACCTGATCAGAAAAGACAGCCTTTGGTGCTTTATTTTGCTGTGACAATTCAACAGCACCTTGTGTAAACCAAGGCTCATCATTTTGTCATTCACTGCAGGTTCATAAATGGTGTTAGGTGAAATTAGGCAAAGGGAGAGTTTCATTGTGTTTGAAGCTTCTGTCATAAGACATAGGCTTTACTTAAAGCATCTGCTGCAGATGCTGTTTCTTTAGGTATATGACATTAATTCTGACTGTATTTTGTTGAAAAATATTTTAAAAAAAAAAAAAGATGAAGACTTTTGGTGGATCCTTTCAGAGTGAAGGTGCAGAAGAGATTCTTGGCTGGGTTGAAGGGTCCAAGCTTCATGTTTATTACAACCAATGATCTGGACAGTTTCACTGTATCTGTCTAACTGGAATACAAGTGACTATAAACAATCGTGATAGCTGTTCTGCTGCATCTGATATCTTGCACAGGTCATAAGATTGTCAAAACTAAGCGGAAGAGTCCTGGCTAATGTTCTTCTAGCTTTTCTAGAAGTGTCACAGAGCTGAACTTCAACACTGTAGTGCCTCGAGATGAGCAGTTTGTTACGCCATCAGGAGACTGGTGTTTTAGAGCCACAAAAAGATTATAGTGAAGTCAACTGATGCATACGTTTTTCCTCTCTTTTTGCTATGTACAGTCCTATTATTTTATTGAGTATTCAGGGCAATGTCCCATGCACTTTTGAAGCTGATAATATGACTCCCACTCGTTTTGACTGGATACAGTCAAGTTCATTTAGAAAACAATCATAGGTACCATCTTGAGGCCTGTTTGCCAATCTGCTATGAAAAGCAGCAGTGCGCCCTGCAGAAATATAAGGAGGCTGGATAAAATGTTCAGCAGCATTTAATCTTCTCTGCGATTGCTCTTTATATTACATCACTGTATGAAATAAGCAGTGTGTTCTCTTAATCTGCAATATCCTATGTAACTGTCATACCTTATGATTGGCTTCTCTGCTTTACTCTTTCATATGCCATGTGCTGTGTGTTTTCAATTATAAGCCACTGTTACCATTCCAATTAGTAGATTTTGCTGTTGGCTCTGATAGAGAATGTGACCAGTTATTAATCAAATTGCCAATAAGGAAGCATTGCAGCTCCCTGCAATACTCAAGGAAGCTCTGTGGAGTATGCCATGCTCAGCCAGTCTGTAGAAAAGCAAGGTTTATCTGCATGTTGACCAAGTTCCAAATCTGACGTAATTGTACCTCTGTCTAATCAAGAAGAATGCCAGGTGCCTTTGACATCTATCACTTTGTAGGCATTTCCAAAGTCATACCTTAGCATAGATTTCGAGGGTGACAGAGCACTGGAAAAGGCTGCCCAGAGAGGTTGTGGAGTCTCCTTCTCTGGACATATTCAAAACCCACTTGGATGTGATCCTGTGCAACCTGATCTAGGTTATCCTGCTCTACCAGGAGTGTTGGACTAGATAATCTCTAGAGGTCCCTTCCAACCCCTACTAATCTGCGAATCTGTGGGTAACGCATAGCTTGATACCAGCAGTGCTTCAGGACGAGACCTGTGTTGCTGCTGAAGTTTCTAGTTGTTGACAGAGAGGATGGGAAAGGCGTTCTGGAGATCTCACTATGTTTTCGGTGCACCTGGAAACTGACATATTGGTAATGGGTATTAGAAATCTTTCTTCAATCCATGTGAGATTAAAGGAAGACTGAAAAAAGTAGAAATAAGTGGGAGGTTAAGCTAATATGGTAAATGGAATGTAAAGCGCACCTCTTCCCGAAATGAAATATGCTAGCAAAATACTCATCTTCTGAATGCAGACCGCTTGTTTTGTTTGGCTCGGTCAGGAAACCTTTTGTTTGAATTAGACTAGGTTAGTTGCACAGAATGGTTTTCAGTTTTAGCATGTGCAGACAAGGCAAACTGCATGCAATTAAAGTATTTAAACTTGCTCTTAATCTTTTCTTTCTTTACTCTTACAGGTTTTTCTATGTTACTTTAGATCATTTTGGTACAGATGACATTTTTTTCACCTTCCAAATTTTACATTTTATTTTAGCACTTTCTAATGCATTCTGCAAAAAGGTGAAAGACATACAGTAGAGAATTAATCTAGTTCCCTGTCTGTTTCTTTTAGGAAATTGTATTAGTGGTATTCTTTGGAACAGAATATGTGGTTCGGTTATGGTCAGCAGGATGCCGCAGTAAATATGTTGGAATATGGGGAAGGCTTCGTTTTGCTAGGAAGCCTATTTCAATCATTGGTGAGTATGCACAACTTGCAAAGTTGACATAAAGACTGAGTAAAACTTGTCCTTGAAAGTTTTGAGAAGTGGAATTTCTGCAGCAGTTGTAGCCACATTTAGAGCAAGAGCTCTTGTCATTAGTGTTAACGTAAATATGAATTTCCTTTCAGGAATCTGTGGCATTGTCATTTGAGAACAAATGTAGCTTGATTTGTTTTCCCGGAAGAGCAGAGTGTTTTCTTTTTCTCAAGTGATTGGAAGCTTCGTCAGAAATAAGTCTTGGCCATAGTCCTGTCTCTTGTGACCTCAGGATCCCAGACACCGTACCATAGCTACAACTGTATTTTTTAAAGATACTGAACAGCCTTCCCC